CTGTTGGTGAACTCTCTTATGCGCTCGTCAGCCTCTGCAGCAAGTCTCAGCATTTGATCCTTGCTACGGGGGTCACGCGTTCTCTGCCAGTCCTTGCGCATCCGATGTTTTCGCCTAATGAGTTCAACAATATCAAGCGGAAGAATATCTCGATCACCTTCCACCACGACCTTCCTCGTAGACACGTCTCTAGATCTTCGAATATTTTGAACGAACTGCTCACAAATTTCATCAATATCATCCTTATCAATGTTACTTTTGATAACGGTGAGATTGTTCATGGACTGTACTCAGACCAGTCCGTGCTCTTGTAGTCATATTTGACCCTTTTTGTTGTTGGTCTGTCTCTGTTGAGAGTGAAGAGCACCGGACAGTGGTTGGAGCTCAGCTCGTTCACGGTAACCAGCTCGCCCAGATCTCGAACATTCTTGTTAAATACTAGGTCAATCGTGGAGGGTGACGTACCATTCCAAGAATAGTGTGTCGGCTCTTCAGGGTATTCAATGACAATGTTATTGTTCAGAGAATACTCTAGCAGCGTCTTGCCATTGATGTTAGGTCAATTGTGACAGTTCCACTCACGCCTTCTGGCGTTGAGGTCTCCCACAACCAGCACCTTGTTTCCAAGGTTACCTGACCTTGTTGGTGTACCTATAGCGACAGGTAGCCAGATTTTAATAATGTTCATTGTTCGATATTAGGTAAACATTTCTGCAAAACAAATCTGTCTTATTCAAAGAAGTATCCAACTGTGTGAAAAACAATGAAATTATGTTCCGTTTCAAAACCTGAAGACTCAGCTCAAATATCAAATCATAAACCGATAGCTATATTAGGCAAATATGGTGAGTTGTTTTAGATTAGTTTATACAGTGTCATCCATTTTCAAGGCAAGTTACACTATCAAGTTCAACTAAAATGGCTTCATGGTCAAAAAATAAACTGAAACTAATTTAGCATGCAGAACTCAAATAATTTCTGAAAGTTTCAACACTCGTGGACAGTTATATATTGGAAATATTGACATTCAGAAGGCATTGATCCAATTGATCATTACCTGACATTAGCTGAACTCAAAGCAATCAGATTATTTGATTCATTTGATTCATTAGTGCGGTTATTAACATGATCATCCGCACATAGGTAATCTAAACTATTTTCAACACTGCTTAATTCATTTTGGAAATGATTTGAAATCAACCTTGAACTGAACCATCAGGAGATTTCAATAGCAAATACCTACATCCTTTCTTATTATAACTAGTAGCCAGGTTTCAACCGTTAATCATTTCATATCAATCATTTCACACAACGAGGTTAACGGGTATTCTTCAGCCAATTTACTATCGTAATCGATGACCTACCTGTATTACAGTAGACCAAGTCGAAGAGCAGTGTGGAGACGAATTTGCACACTTTGTGGTAAACATGTTTTGGACTGTGTTGTTTTTGAGTGATTTACTCATTATTTGCAATGCTTTGATCATGAAAGGTGCGTAAAAACTCTTACACAATAATTTATTTGTTTCGTTGATG